AAGTCGATAAGTTTAATTTTCGTATTACCGTTTCCTGGAGAAAAATAAAGAAGTTTCGTAAACTTAACATGAAGTAATATATAACAACTATGAAATATTGACAAATATTTTTATAAATTTTTGCAAGATAAAACTAATATATTCTCTCAAACTGCAGAGAACTCCCAGGAAAAAAATCTAGATGTAATCCGACACAGCAGATGAACTCCAGTTTGTCGTTTTCTTGATAAAACAATGTAGTTTCACGACTACCCGTTTTACGTGAAGTGGCGGCGTAAAACTCGGTGAAAAACGCGATATTCGCGGTGATATGCAGTAGTCGTGAAATATGTTTTTCATATCACTAGGGTGGTGAAACTCAAATGCTTAGACCACACGTTTGCTCCCGACAAGAGTTTGATGTCAAGAATAGATATAAGCATCATCACATTCCTTCTTATCCGACCTACTGCACTTGAAAATTTTCATCAATCTCCAATGATTTTCTAAACGTGCGACACAGAATTTATTTTTTATATTCATTTCAGATGCAGAAAAATACTACTGGAGTTTCGTCACCCTAGTGATATGTAAAACACTAGTAGAAAATATATTTTACGACTACTACAGGCCGCGAATATCGCGTTTTTCACCAATTTTAATGCCACTTCACGTAAAACGGGTTCACGTGAAACTCCACTAAAACTACCAAGAGAAAAAATGCCAGATATATACGTATACTACTAACACTGAGTGATAAAAGTATACAAGAACATAAAGTTTCACCACCCTAGTGATATGAAAAACATATTCCACAACCGCTGCATATCACCACTAATACTAGGAGTTTATAGAAAAATTAGAGTAGAAGTGAACTGAAAATAATGAGAATTTCCCGAAATTTCCTCGCAGTTTTCATATTGTCACCAACACATGTAGTTGAGCATTGCATATTTTCCCACCACACTGTTGAATATGTGAAAAAATTCATCACGAAAAAAATAAATTTTTCGTCTACTTACGTAACAAGAAGTATATTTTCCGGTTTCAAATCGCAATGAATGATCCCTTGTGTTTGCAAACAGACCAACGCTCGTAGTAGTTGATCCATAATCGACTTAATCATATTAATAGGTAACCCTCGGAAGGAATTCTGCAACGGAAATAATTACCCAACGATTATACCCATTATTTTCTCACCTGTTTTAACACGTCATACAAGTTCATACTCAATTGCTCGAACACCTACGAAAAACTCATCTCGATAGGAGCCGCGCTCAAGAACGCTTATATACGTAGTTTCACGCTGATGATATCAAAAACACTAGTGAAAAACATATTTCACATTTTACTAGGCGGAAAACAAATGTGTTATCGATCGCGAAAACATATTTACATGGAGTATTACACCACTTCACGTTAAACGGGTGAAACTCCTATATCACGACATATGTTGGAGTAGGAATATATGTTCGCTTCCCTTAGCTGAGCTCAGAAGAGTTTCCTATACAGTGTTGGAGTTGGAATATATGTTCGCTTTCCTCAGCTGAGCTCAGGAGTTTCCTATACAGTGTTGGAGTAGGAATATATGTTCGCTTCCCTTAGCTGAGCTCAGAAGAGTTTCCTATACAGTGTTGGAGTAGGAATATATGTTCGCTTTCCTCAGCTGAGCTCAGGAGTTTCCTATACAGTGTTGGAGTAGGAATATATGTTCGCTTTCCTCAGCTGAGCTCAAGAGTTTCCTATACAGTGTTGGAGTAGGAATATATGTTCGCTTTCCTCAACTGAGCTCAGAAAAGTTTCCTATACAGTGTTGAAGTAGGAATATATGTTCGTTTTCCTCAACTGAGCTCAAAAGTTTCCAAAGCTAATTATACACCTTAAAAACGAATTCGGGTAGAACTCTACCATTGAAAAATCCAAAATTTCCCTCAGAATTTTCATACGAACACATATGCTTATTTTCCCCCAACTGCATCGAGTAATAAATTACTATGCATAGATGTTTTCTGTATACAAAATAATCTGTCATTTTCACTATGCGAGTGTCATAATATCGATTTAGCAGTTGGAGAATTCGCACTTCAACCAAGGCTTGTTGAAAGTACCTTACAAGGAAAATGATTCGAAATGAAACTCCCTATTCTCTCTTCATTACGCTGGCTTATTCTTTATTATTTTTACAGCAAAACTGCGGTTATCGCAGGTCACGCAGCGGAGCACTTGACCGAAAGTGCCTGACCAAATACCCACACAGGTTCGATCCCTGGTGCCCGCATTTTTCCTACCATGCCCGAGTCGATCGGCGATTTCGTAACCATACCCTTCGGGATTAGCAATAACGTCGTTAACCCGACATATAAAATCACCTTCTGCGTTATCGTAACCGTCATTTCTGCGAAACACACGAATGATCCTTCCGATTCACTTTAGCTGCTGCCAACCTGCACGGCTCTATGAGCTTAGTAAATATCCTTCTTGGTGCGTACTGATTACTGTACTGATAACTACTATCACAATCTTGATAGGTCTGTGTTATGGAAGATCCCAAAGCTCGAGGTAACTGCGAAAATTTCTAGTGAAAACTCACCGAGAGTAAGAGCTTACTTCACTGATATGCGCATCAGCAGGATTCGGTTTTACGACACTTGTAGTAGTACTTTTCGAAGCGTCATTTTCACTCTGAAAAACAATGGAGTTTCACCACCCTAGTGATATGAGAAACACTTGTGAAAAATATACTCCACAAATCACCGCGAATTTACGCCAAGCATTACGCCACTTCACGTAAAACGGATCGTGAAACTCCGATATGTTGCAATATAAAATGTTTTATGAACATTTCCATGTGAGAAAATGTGCCCATGGTCAACTACATGTGTTGGTGATAATATGAAAATTCCGAGGAAAATTCAGGAAATTTTTTCATTGGTTTCTGTATATTTCTACCCGAATTCGTATATAAACTCCTATAATTAGTGAAGAAACTCTTCTGAGCTTAGCTGAGGAAAGCGAACATATATTCCTACTCCAACACTGTATAGGAAACTCCTGAGCTCAGCTGAGGAAAGCGATTACATATATTCCTACTCCAACACTGTATAGGAAACTCCTGAGCTCAGCTGAGGTGAGCGAACATATACTCCTACTCCAACACTGTTTCCATGTTTTCCAATAACACTATTTCGTGTAGTGGAGGAATATGCAATACAATATCAAATCATGGTAAAATTTTCAAATCAACTGATCTCACAAAATTGTATTTTTTCCGAATGAAAAAAAAAGAGTACGAGTTTAGTCGCTAAAACACTAGCAGCAACAGCAGCTCGGATGCTGCTATGATGAGCTCGCAGTTTCTGGTAAATTATATGACGACTATGATGATTGTCATCCATTTTCATTTTCAAACGGAGTCCTCCCTTGTTTAAACACAAATGACATCTACTAGCCATATGCGAACCTGAGCGCTAGGGACCTTTATATATTCATTAATTCTGTTAAACAAGCTTCCACAAAGTCTTGTATTTTGCGTTACCCTCTAGTCATATATTAACCGATATAGATTTATATACTTGATATCATATAAACTGTGTATTATTAATATATTGAGTATAAAAGGTATTATTATAAATATATCATAATATCAATATAAAAATAAGTAATATATAACTAACGATACTAGCAGCCCGCGTCGCTTCGCTCCGGGGAAGCTCTAGCTACTACGGAGG